ACAAAATTTAAAGTAAACGATTAACTAAATTTCAAGAAGCTTCACCATAAATAGCTTCATATTTACAAGGGCTATAGATAAGGAAATAAGTGAGGTAAAAATCTGAAATAATTTGCCCTTCTTCCTATTATTATAGGTAAGAAGCCTGCCAAATTTCAAACCATTCCATCAATTTTTACCAGAGTTACAAAATTTAAAGTAAACGATTAACTAAATTTCAAGAAGCTTCACACACAAATACCTTTATATTTCCTAGGCTCATAGACAAGGAAATTACATGTTTTATACATATAAATCATTCTTAAACAGAGAATATTGGTATACAAAATTGTTGAATTACCTGAAAGTCAATTCTTCCTAGTTCATATTTAAGACATTTAAAATAATATTACAAAATTGTTTCAAATACAGAAAATGACTTCACACAAGCATGTATGTAGAAACCATGTAGAAGACTTGTCGCCGAGCGCATAGCCCATGCTACCGCGTCTGTCTAGCGCGAGCCTATACTACTGCGTCCGACTAAAGCGTAGCCTATACTACTGCGTCTGTCTAGCTCCTTAACGACTCTGTACTCCTTAACGAAGCCTCGGACAACATTTTCGCTAAGGAAAAACTTGTTCCAAATCTTCCTCTCTCCCCCGAACACCCCCTTTCAAGGACCTCCGACGTTTCTGGAAGGAACTGTGATACAACCTGTATAATACATTCTCGACGTCCTTTCCGCAGGTGGAGCAAGTTCTACAACCGGATAAAGAGCGAGCAAACGCTGTCGGAGGGAAGCAGACGCGGAAAGGGACGGAACCAGCCGTCGAGAGAGAAGAGAGCGAGAGAGAGAGAGAGATTTCGCCATCCTCCCGGAGCTCCGTGGCCGCGTTTGTACAGTGGTAATGGGCTGTCAGGAGCAGACGTTCGCTGCTCGTGCCTTATATACCAACACCGTTACGCTCCTCTTGGGGTCGGTTCCTATCAGCTTGTTCGTATTATCAACCCCTCTGATTGCGTTCTCCCTTCGTTCCCACCGCCTCCCTCCTTCCACTCGAGACCCTCCGCCTCCTTCAATAGCGTCTTCCAGTTGGAAGCCATCGACCATGTTACGACACCTCCCAAAACCCATGTCTCCAAACCTTTTCGAACCCTGTACAATTTTTCTAGAATAATAAAACAAATTTTGAAAAGAATAATATGCAAGCAAAATATCGCATTTCCTAGCTACGATTGTAATTCATTTTGTTATTACCACTTAAATTCTTCATCTTTTCCAGCAATATTACTGCACGAGTAATGCTGCGATTAGAAAGAAATGCATGGAACCCCCGAGCACGTGAAATCTGCATTTCAGCCAAAGTGGATCAATACCCCAGCACGTTGCAAGGTAGATTATTCTCGTGTAAGCTCTGCGTGCTCCCAATTGCTGTATTAGAAGGTAAACATGACCACGAAGACTACGTTTAAGGCTTTATTTGAATATTTTTCATTGCTGAGGTCCTTGAAGGATTTCTATTGAATATTCTCAAGTATCCTTCTTTGAGCTTCTTGGAGATACGTGAGTCCTTCTTCTCTTTGGGAAGGTAGATTAATTTTAAATTATATTTAACGAAATTTATTTGTCTACCAGCTTCCATTTTTTCTTTCAGAAAAATCCTCCCTTCGAAGTTGGACCAGTGCCACGTGTTCGCCAGCCACCCCCAACGTGCCTTTTCCTCCCCGAGTGATCAATACTGCGGTCCTCTACACGAAACAGGTACCAGTCCGAATATTTCAGCGTGGAAGACAACAGGGACTGCGAAAACTAAAATCGGGTATTAACTCTCCGATCGTGACCAACTATCTTATTTTAATTTCTGATATAAGTCTGTAGATCGAATCTTACCTTTGAACACTGTCAAAAATGTTGTGTATCTATTACACTACTTACAAAATTCAGAAACAGTATTCGGTTAAAGTTTATATCAAAGACTTTGTTATAAAACGGTCTTGTTTTTAATTTGCCAGGCTTGCAGCTATTATTCGCAATTCTGAGGAATCTTAGACGAATTCAAAGTTTTCATCAATTTAAAAAAGGAAATGTTTAATAATATTAAGATACCGGCATATAGTAGAATTTGAAATTATTGTGATGGGATATTATAGGATATAGGAATCTACAATATGTTTTGTTGTTTTTTGTTTCAGATAATTCACTGGACGAATCGAACTTGTATATATCATGCGAACTTTGCGAGTTCTCTTTTGGGTTGGTACGAACACGCAGCCACCTAGCGGTTGGGTATTCATACATTTATATAATAAATAATAATAATGACAGTAAGATAGTAATAAGAGTAACAAATGTCAGTGGAAAATCGATGGCAAGACGCTCAAGCTTGCAGTGAAAGTAGTTCCCATTGTCCATTGCCCCATTACAAGATGGCGCCACTGTTAACTTTCTATAAATTTTGCATTATTTGCGTCATTAATACGATTTATTGTTTTATAACACTACAATATATTAATTAATACGTCAAATTTACCATCTGTATCAGTAATTATTCAATTTAAAAATAATTAGAGATTCCTGCAGATAGTGGCGCCATCGGTGGTATAAAGCGCCCAAGCTTGTAGTGAAAATAGTTTCCGCTGTCGCCGCTAGATGGCGCCACCGCCGCCTTTCAAAAAATTATTTATTATTTACAATAAATGCATAACTAATACGATTCTTTGCATTGTAATACTATAGTATCTAACTTTATTATTCGAATTCATCATTTCTATGAACAATTGTTTATCTTAGCAATAATTATCGACCGTTTTAGTTAGTGGCGCCATTTTATAGATACACTAGGTAACTATTTTCACTGCAACGTGGGCGTTTCTTCACCGATAATTATTCCTGCATTAATTATAAATCAAAGAATCCTATTAATACACAACGAATTTATTAAAATTCATACTCGTCTTTTTACTCGTAACCAAAGCCAAATTCTATTTTGAATCATACGATTCGCCACTTGGAACGAAAAGATTCCAATTCAAAAACCCCGCCATTGACCACAAGACTCGTCGAGATCACGTGATAGTGTCGATATTATCGACGGAACAATCCTAACCAATGTAACGTAAGCACATACACGCATACGTACGATCGTTTCGTGATCAATTTATTACAGATCACGCGACGATTAACGCAATCTGTAAGAACGTTAACGTGGAACTAGTGCCGAAGCGTTTTATTTATCAGTTCTTTAGCAATGAACAATCTGGTGCACGCGGACGCCATTTTCAATATAAGCATTGGCCACGTCCTAACTTGATGGCAGGAGATTTTGGAGCCGTTAATGTGTTCCTTCCGTCGAGTCCCGAGTAATTGAGTACCTCGTAAAGGAAAAGCAAGTTGCACAGCGAAACATGGTACGTATCTCGAGAATGATTCTAATTCGCTGTTAAATTCTATGTCGCCGGTAAACACCTGTGGACACTTTGTATTGACACTGCATCTCCGCCTGACACGTCAAAATATCCACTCCCCTTCATCATTCCTCCAACAGTTTCCTCGCAACTTCACAAACTCTACTTACAAACTCCGAAATGAAAGTTTTCTGCGTTGCTTTTAACCCTAATATCATTCTTCAAAAATATATGTCATTTCTTTGTCATGATTGTATCTCCAAATAAGATCCTGCATATTAAAGTATGCAAGCTAATAAATGTATCCTTGCATACCAAGAAAGTCACGCAATGACAAAAACTTTGTTATAATCGCTATTTCATGTATCGTCCTCTTTCAGCCACTCAGGTTAGACATCAAGCGGAAGCTAACCGCTAGATCTGACAGAGTGAAGAGCGTGGATCTCCACCCAACAGAACCATGGATGCTCTGTTCTCTCTACCAGGGCAATGTCAACATTTGGAACCACGAGACTCAAATGTTGGTCAAGACTTTCGAAGTATGCGACTTGCCGGTGCGTACAGCCAAATTCGTGCCACGCAAAAATTGGGTTGTCACTGGCTCGGATGACATGCTCATCAGAGTGTTCAATTACAACACTCTGGAGCGGGTGCATTCCTTCGAAGCGCACAGCGATTACGTCAGATGCATAGCGGTTCATCCGACACAGCCATTTATATTAACTAGTAGCGGTACGTGGTGCAAGATCCATTCCCTTGAAATCTGATATTACAACTTTTAATTCTTTGAATTGTCCCATTTAGACGACATGTTAATCAAATTGTGGAACTGGGAGAAGGCTTGGATAGGGCAGCAAGTCTTCGAGGGACACACTCACTACGTCATGCAGATCGTGTTCAATCCTAAAGATAATAATACGTTTGCCAGTGCTTCATTGGACAGAACAGTGAAAGTATGGCAATTAGGATCCTCCACTGCCAATTTCACGTTAGAGGGCCACGAGAAAGGCGTAAATTGCGTAGATTACTACCACGGCGGTGACAAACCATACTTGATATCTGGAGCGGACGACAAATACGTTAAGATATGGGACTACCAAAACAAAACGTGCGTGCAGACGTTAGAGGGACACACGCAGAACATTTCGGCGGTCTGTTTCCATCCAGAATTACCCATCATTCTCACTGGCTCGGAAGACGGAACCGTCAGAATATGGCACGCGGGAACGTACAGATTAGAATCCTCTCTCAACTACGCTTTCGAAAGAGTATGGACGATCGCCAGTATGCGAGGCTCGAACAACGTAGCGATCGGCTACGACGAGGGTAGCGTTATGGTGAAAGTTGGCAGGGAAGAGCCGGCGGTTTCCATGGACTCGCTAGGCGGTAAAATTGTCTGGGCCAAACACAGCGAGATACAGCAAGTGAACCTAAAGGCTCTGGGAGAGGAAGCGCAGGATGGAGAAAGGCTTCCTCTAGCGGTCAAAGACATGGGTGCCTGCGAAATTTATCCGCAAACTATCCAGCACAATCCCAACGGCAGATTTTTGGTGGTTTGTGGGGACGGAGAGTATATTATTTACACATCCATGGCGCTGAGGAACAAGGCGTTCGGTCAGGCATCCGAATTCGTGTGGGCTGCTGATTCCAGCCAGTACGCTGTCAGGGAAAGCACCACCACTGTCAAGGTCTTCAAGAACTTCAAGGAAAAGAAGAGCTTCAAACCTGATTTCGGAGCTGACGGTTGGCATTCTAAATAAATTTACAATAGTATTTATTAAATAAATTTAGAATACCTTCGACTTTACATTACACTGTACATTTTGGTTCCTGGATGAAGTTTAAATGTATGCCCTATTTGTGTGGAATATCTTAAACTGAATCGGTAATTTTTAGGTATTTTCGGGGGATTCCTGTTGGGAGTGTCTTCAGGATCTGGCTTGTCCTTCTTCGATTGGGACACGCTGAAGTTAATTCGTCGCATAGACATTCAGCCAACGCACGTTTATTGGGCGGAGAACGCGTCTCTCGTGGCGTTGGCCACCTCCGATCAATACTTCATCTTGAAGTACCAGGCTGACGCTGTCGCGAACGTTCCTGAGGTTTCGGAGGACATCGAGGACGTCGAGAGCGCGTTCGAGGCACGTTACCTTAACCCTAGCTTTACAGAGATCACTTACACATACGCTCTTTGTATGAATGAATGTCAACGAGGTTGGCGAAGAATGTAAATGGTTCCTTTAAACTTTCTTGCGAACAGTGGGTAAACATGAGCTCTGTGAACCTAGCGTTAATCGCTAGATGATATACGCATAAGCTAGAAGAAAGAGTCTGTACAACGTCCATTAACAATATTACAGATGATAGCAGAGGTGAGCGAAGTAGTGAAGACCGGCCTGTGGGTTGGCGACTGTTTCATCTACACAAACAGCGTGAATCGAGTAAACTACATCGTCGGTGGCGAAGTAGTGACCGTCTCGCACTTGGACAGACCGATGTACCTCCTCGGCTACGTCCCCAGGGATAACAGACTCTACTTATGCGACAAGGAGCTCTCCGTTGTCTCCTATTCCCTGTTACTCTCCGTCTTAGAGTATCAGACAGCCGTTATGCGAAAGGACTTTGAGACAGCAGACAGAGTTCTACCTACGGTACCAAAGGAGCATCGAACCAGAGTCGCGCACTTTCTGGAAAAGCAGGTTCGCGTCCTTGTACGACCTATCTCTCGACTGTAGCTCGGCATAGAACTCGGTACACGACTGGTAACTGATTGCAGGGTTTCAAGAAGCAAGCGTTGGCGGTTTCGACGGACCCGGAGCACAGGTTCGAGTTGGCATTGGCGTTGAAAGATCTCGTCACGGCTCACTCGCTCGCCAAAGAAGCTAACAGCCAGCAGAAGTGGCGGCAGCTGGCGTCTCTGGCTACGGGAAAGGGCAAGCTGTGCCTCGCGCAGGAGTGCTTGCATCAGGCGCAGGACTTTGGAGGGCTTCTGTTGCTGGCCACCAGCACGGGAAACGCGAATATGATCGAGAAACTCGGCGCGGACGCTGACAGTACCGGGAACAATAACATATCGTTCTTGTCGTACTTCATTCTCGGGGAACTCGACAAATGCTTGGACATTCTCGTTAAGACGGACAGGATTCCAGAGGCTGCGTTCTTCGCGAGAACGTACGCGCCCAGCAAAATCTCGTCGATCGTTAAATTGTGGAAGGAGAAGTTGTCAGCGGTGAGCGAGAAGGCTGGACAGAGCTTGGCCGATCCTGAACAGTACGAGAACCTGTTCCCTGGTTACAGCGAGGCTTTGAGAGTCGAGCAGTTCCTGAGGGAGGAAGCCAAGAAGAAGATTCCCGCGTCAGCTTTTCCAACGGTTCAAGTAAATATATATGTAGTTTAATTTAGTCTGCCCGATTTAGCGTTCGCGAGTTTGCATAGGCTCTCATACTGTACAACTTTTGTATAAACAATTTGGTTGCATTTGTTATTAAATACAAGTTATTGTTTAATATAAATCCGTGAGCCGGGCTTCGGACAGAATTCTCGAGTGAAATTTGAAAAAATCATAACTTTTGATTGGATAAATGGATTTCAATGATCGAGACGGGCAAGTGTGCGTCTTTAAGTGAAGAAATTTTAAAAAAATATCAAACTATTGAAAGATTTCATTTTTTAATTCATTTTGACGGAAAAACAGGTAATGAGATACCTAATTTTCAAAAATTCAGAAAACTCTTAATAATGAATATTTTGGATCGAAACTTTTTTTCGTTGTAGATCTCATGGATCTCCGCCAAAAACATATAGAAAGTTTTTCTCTATAGCGAAAACTCAATTTTTTAAAAATGAACGGATGACTTTCTTAAGTATTCGCAAAGGTTGCCTCCTCCAGATCTTGCAGCTCTCTTAATAATGGAGATTTTTTATTCAAACTTTTTTCCATGGTAGATCTGATGGAACCCTACAGAAAATATCTACAAAGTTTTTCTCTAAAGTGAAAGCTCGATTTTAAAAAAATAGGAGAATGATTTTTGGGAGGTTATCTGCAGTATCAATATCGAACAATAACTTGACTTTCACTTCACAGATAAAACAAAATTATTTAAATAAAAGTTGTACAGTAAGGAAACCTCTATAAAACTGCGAATACAATTTTATTTTTTATCGCAGCCCAATACAGAACGAAAGCCATTGGAGGAGATGTTGGCAGCCGAGCAGGCGAATCGATTCACTTACAAAGCAGGCGTCAACAGCAACAGCAAACCAGAAGTATCGACTACTGAAGAGCTGACGAATAGGTTAATAGATCTGGATATCGATAAGGTAATCCCTGCGTCAACCGAAAACACAACTGCACCTCAGAAAACGACCAAGACCACAACCAGCAGTTCCAGGCCACTCACGGTGGACGACGACGACTTGGACCTCGATCTCGAAATTGACGATACCATTGACACTACCGTAAGTCCTCCCATTTTAACGCATTCTCACCCGAGCGATCTCTTCCCTAATTCGACCTTTGTGTCTTAAATGTTTCCATCCCACCTCCTGGAATTATTTCGGTTCTTAAACGTAACCATTGTCTGTGCATGCCTGCGACACGCATAAGTGGTGCTTCTGAATAACAAAGTAAGTCTGCACGAGGACTAACGTCCTCGATATTCATTAAACGACGTTGCGATATCGAAAGTCGCGAGATAAACGAATCAAGGTCGATCGGAAGGGAGAGAAGAGAATGGGAGACAGAGAGGAGCGTAACTAGACGTTGGCTTGATACCCTAAAATATGGAAGCGTAACCCTAGAAGGGTATTGCGTTACCAAAACAGTCTGTAGCATATTGTATCACGCACACGCGCCTGCACGGCTTGTATCGATCCTGGTTGATGTATGTGAACACGTTCCACCTATCGAGCAGGCCAAATGGCGCATTAAACAAGCCAGAGAAAGGTGAAACAGAGAAATAAAACAAGGAGGTGGTAGGTACCTCGGAGAAGGGTTTAATGGTCCTGTGAAGTTTCAAACTTCATCTACGAATGGTTTCACAGATACACGATGACTATTGTTTAAAATGCTTGAGAGACCATTATATGTTGACGCTAGGTTTACAGAGATTTCTCATTAGAAATGAATTTTATTTGATGTAATGCTTTAATGGATACAGTTAATTTACTTAGAGTTAATCAGGAGGCTTGGACAACAATGAATTTGGATGTATGCTTGCCTTTTTATGTGGATAAGAGTCAGTAGGAATAGATCAAAATGTGCTCCATGAACCTGGCATTAATTTCACAGCCTACGATCAATCATAGTCTAGTTCATCCCACGATGCATTTTGTTTGCAGCCTCATAACACTGGAACCCGCTTCAACTCCTGCTACACCCTTTCTATCATACTGTTCTTCTTCACCCTGCAAATATCTAAGCATAGCAGTATTTGTAAACAGTACAAGCTTCGTACCGAAGGTAGCAAGCGTAATTTGCAACTGAAACGATACTCTTCTGTTGCAGGGCGTGAGTCTCGACGACGACCTCCTCGAGGAAGATTAGCCCCTCGATCTGGAAGGCGAGATCAGCAACGTGCGCGCCAGACGTGCAATTTCCATTCTCCTTCCGTCAGTCATTCCCCCGCGAGTCGATCGGAGTCGTTTAGAATCAAGTATTACTGTTGAAGGACATTTCTTGTGCGCGAGTGCTTTTATCATCAACGCATCCAATTAAGAATGTACGCGCGGGCTTTAACCGCGTGACGAAGATTAAATATATTGTTAATATAACAGAATGGCACGGGAGATTTCTCTTACTTCCTTTTACAGCTGCAGCCTTCAAGGAACCTGAGATTCTTATAAATAAGCACAACGTAGAAAGTAGGGAATTTACAGGAAGATTCTACTCACTCGAGGAATGTCAAATATATTATCATACCA